TCTTTTAAAAATTGCTTTTAAAATTGTATAGTCAACTATCCTAAGTCACTTAGAACCTATAATCGAAATAACTCAAACTCTCTAAGAAGCTTTCCTTTGAACTTCAAGAGCTGGGAAAGTAGGTCACTGTAGTAGTAATATCATGCTACCCTGACCCCTTGAAAGTAGAGTTAGGATAGTTTGTCTTGTAAACTAAGTGCCCATTTTAATAACTTCTCTGTCTTTGTCTCTGTCTTTCTCATACACACACACACACACACACACACACGCTCACGCTCTTGCTCTTATACCAATATATAAATGGCCTTACACTAAACCTTACTCTTGACGATCCTACTGCCTCTCACATCAGCACACTGAAGATCTAGCACATGAACACATGTATCTTCTGTAACAAACAACATCCAAACTATAGCAATATCTAAAGGACTAATTTATTATTTTAGTTACGCAGACAAATAGCATAGTTATCAAAGACTCTCTTCCTCACTTTCTTGGTCTTTAGGCTATTGATTCCCATTAACAATGACACAGTCATATATAACAATGACAGTCATCTGTATTGTCAAACCCTTTAACTTAACTTGGGGCTTTATGTCCAATATTTATAACTAAACTGTGACCAAACTATCATTTTGTTTAAAAGTTCCTAGAAACACTATATATATATACATATATATATGTATATATGTATATGTATATGTATATGTATATGTATATATATGTATATATATATGTATTTATATATATATATTTACTTTTTCATTATTTTTATTACAAGATTTATATGTTAATTATGGATATGCCAAGGAAATGTACCCTGTAATCCCAGCATATAGAGGCAGTTTCTGATATATGTGTGTGTATACGTATATATGTATATGGGTACATATATTCTTTTGAACTTTTTTGTAACTATGCACATAAATATTCATGCTTGTGTTTTTCTTCTTAGAAAACTTGGATTTTATTATATATTACCTAAAAGGTTTTTTTTTGTTGTTGTTTTTACTTTGGATAAAAATAACTGTGTTACCACTTCAAATAATGTGGTATTTTGGAGCAGGGTCTTGCTGTATAGCCCTGACTGTCCTGGAACTCACTATGTAGACCAGGTTGGCCTTGTACTCACAGAGATCTGTCTACCTCTACCTCCTGAGTGCTAGGACTATAACACCTGACTAAATAACATACCGTACACTGAACCAAAGGGTTAACATTGCACCACTGGCCTTGCACACCATCCTTTAAGGTTTAAAAGTCCTTCAGAAGGGCCACGCCAGCTACCTCTCCCTCTCCCCCTACTGACCTACAGCGCTGTGTGTTTCCAGGATTTTTAATCTTCACAGTAAAGTCATTTTGTCATCGTGACCACATTTTCCACTACTGTGTACATTTGTCCTATCTATTGTAATTCTGCTGATTCAGTTTTACTTGCTGTGTCCTTTCCTCATAGTGGACTTGCTTTTATTTTTAAAAGATGCTGTTTGTTACATTAGTTGCTTTTCTTATTGCTGTGACAAAACACTAACCAAAGGCTGTTCAAGGAAGGAAGGGTTTCTTTTGCTTCACCATTTGAGAGGACAGTCCATCATGATGGGGAAGCTGAGGCAGCTTTCAGTCATATTGCATCCTCATTGAAGAAGCAGAGAGGATGAGTGGTACTCAGCTTGCTCACTCCAGGACTTCAGCCCTTGAAATGATGCCAGGGCCACCCAGCAGTGCCCTTCTGACCTTCTTCAAACCTTCCTGGAAGCACACATATAAACACATCCATAGATGTGTTTCTGTAGTGATTTAAATCCAATCAAGATGACAATGAAAATTAAGCATGGCATCTGTTAACAGGTAACAAGTTCACTGTTGTTACATTAGCTATCTTTTTTCAGTGTTAGGGCTTGAACTCAGAGCCTTAGCTACACACAGCAAGTACACCATTAATTATGTTCTAAGCCCCTACTTTTAAAAAGCTTTTTTTTTAAAATTTAGTTTAATATGTATGCTTGTGGGAATTTTGTCTGCATGTATGTCTGTTGCACCATGTGCATGTCTAGAGGCCAGAAGACAGCATTGGCTCCCTTAGGATTTGAGTCACAGACAACTGTGAGCTTCCATCTGGGTGCTGGGAATTGAACCCTGGTCCTCTGAAAGGACAGCAAGTGCTGTTAACCACTGAGTTATTACTAAATAAATATATTTTTAATTTATTTATCTAACTTTTAATGTGGTGAATATTTAACTTTTAATATGGTAAATATTGATAAATATATACCTTTTTATGTTTCTTAATAATTTAGAAGAATGTAAAGGCCAGCTGGGTGTAGTGGCACACACCTTTAATCCCAGCCCTAGGGAGGCAGAGGCAGGTAGAACTCTGTGAGTTCAAGGCCATCCTGGTCTACAAAATGAGTTCAAGGATAGCCAAGGATAAACAGAGAAACCCTGTCTTTAAAAAAAAAAAAGGCCAAAACAGTTTCTTTTAGTACAAGCCTGCAGGTAGCAAATCCTTGGGTCTTGGGTTTTCTTTGACTAACATGTCCTTATGTCAAGTTATTTCTGTAAAATTTCGAAAATGGAATTTTTTTTTTTTTTAGCATATTGGTCTTTTGTTTCACACTGACTTTGAGTCAACTGCCATCTATTTGTTATGTGAAAGTAGTTGCTCTTTTTACCTCTAGCTGCTGCTCAGGTTTTTCTCTGTTTTGCAGTATTGCTTGAGTGTGCTTTGACTAAGGTTTCTTTTTTTTTTTTTTTTTTTTTTTTTTTTAAAGATTTTATTTACTTATTGTGTATACAACATTCTGCCTCCACGTATGCCTGCATGCCAGAAGAGGGCTCTTTTGCTGTAGACCTGCATAGTGTTACCAATAACAACCACACCACAGACTCAGTATTATGTTACTCCAGCCTTTAATCTTTGTGTTGACAAAGAAACCCTGTCTCAAAAAAAAAAAAAAACAAAAAACAAAAAACAAACAAAAAAAAAAAAAAAACAGGAAGTGGGGGGGGTGGAGAGTCAGAAGGAGAAGAGAAGGAAATAAAGAAAGAATCTCCTCCACCAATTTTTTTTGTTTTGGTTTGGTTTGGTTTGGTTTTGGCTTTCGTGATGGGGTTTCTCTGTGTAACAGCTCTGGCTGTCCTGGAACTTGCTCTGTAGACCAGGCTGGCCTCAAACTCACAGAGATCTCCCACCTCTGCTTCCCAAGTGTTGGGATTTAAAGGCCTGCACCACCATTACTTTTAAATTTAGCTTCAGGCAAGTTCTCAAGATAAGGACAGAAAGTAACCAGATTCTTTGGCAAAATATCACAAGAATGGCTACTAATATTGTTCCCCATTCAAGTCTCTTGAGCTGGGCCTTCGTAGTTCACTCCATTTTCTAGGCTTCTATTAGAATAGCTTACTGGGTGCTGCTTAGAGTGTTCAAACACTCTTCTGATACAGACTTCCAAAATAGTAACATGGTGTCTTAAAGAGACACCATGATCATGGCAACTCTTACATTTAATTGGGTGGCTCACTTAGAGTTCAGAGGTTTAGTCCATTACATAATAGATAAATGTAATAATGTTTGAAATGTTAAGCTGGCAGGAAATGGCGGGAAGCAAGGCAGCATGCAGGCAGACATGGTACTATAGCTGAGAGTCCTTACATCTTTGTCCAAAGGCAACAGGAAGTGACTGTCTCACTGGGCATGGCTTGAGCATATATGAGACCTTAAAGCCATCCTCCACAGTGACACACTTCCTCTAACAAGGCCATACCTCCCATTTGTGCCACTCGCTTTGGGGTCCATTTTCTTTCAAACCTCCACACATGGTAAAGTGGATGAGAGGCAACCTCCCTCTCTACCAACTTCTGTATTAATTACTTTCTTTTTGCTGTGATCAAATTTTATGACCAAGTCAGTTTACAAGAAGAGCTCATTGGGCTTACAGATCCAGAGGATGGAGCTCCATTATTGTGGAGAGGCTTGGCCACAGTAGCAGGCATGGTGGTTGGAGCCGGAAGCTGAGTGATCACACCTTTAGCTGCAAGCATGGAGCAGACAGGGCAAACTGGAAGCAAGATGAGATAATGTAATCTCAACTTTCCCCCAGTGACAGCTGTGCCATCTAAATCTCCCCAAACTGCTTTCAACTGGAGACCAAGTATTCAAATACCAAAACCTATGAGAGGCACGCTCATTCATATTCAAAATTAAAAAACAAATTATAAAAATATCTGCCAGTTTGGGGCAGGTTGGCTTCTGGGGAGGAAGAGATCCCTCTTAAATTAGCACGACTCCACAGTCCATGATGGCTCACAAGAAGCTACTCAGAAGTGACACAGCCCTTCTCACAGTTTATCACCCCAGAAGTCGATTGACACATATAAAGTCAACAAAGGGGAGTATATAATCTAGTTACAGAAAAACACAATCCATCTATTACACATCTGTGAAAAACACATGTGCATTGATTGTTACGACTATCTCTACATATCTGATCACTGAGGGACAGTTGGGAAAAATGAAAAGCTAGCCCAAGTTGCGAGACTAATTGATGATGGTCTGTGAATTTTGAGTTCTTTAACTGTTTCTGGATCTGCTTAAAAGCAGATTTTGCAAGGCTGGGGATATAGCTCAGCTCTTAGAGTGGTTGCCATTCATGCATGAGACACCGCAAAGCAAGTAAGTAAGTAAATAAATAAATAAATGAATAAATGAATAAATAAGTAGGTAAGTAAGGATGGCAAGGGTGCCTGCTACACAAGCCTGACAACTTTGTGTTTGATTCCTGGAACTCGAAAAGGAGAAAGCCATCTCCCAGCAAGTTGTCCTCTGACCACTGCATACCCTAAATAAATGTTTGCTGGGTGTAAGTGTGTGTGTGTGTGTGTGTGTGTGTGTGTGTGTGTGTGTTTTCAGTAAAGTAAACCTATTTTGCTTCTAGACAAAGGATTTGCAGTAACTTTGAATATGTGATATATTTTGAATTTCACTTTTCTTTCCTTGACAGTGTCATCAGCAAGGTGGTGCCAGCTCCAGAGGCTAAGCCAGCCCCTTCTCTGAACAGACCTAAAACCCCGCCTCCAGCCCCAATCCCAGTTCCTGTGCGCGTGAGCCCTACTCCTCTACCACCACCACTCCTCACCCAGGCTGCAATGTGCCCAGCCCTGATGCCATCCCCAGCTCCTGCCCTCTCTGGAGTGGGGAGTGCCAAAGCCCCAGTGCGGAGCGTGGTGACAGAGACGGTCAGCACTTATGTGGTGCGTATATTTTCACAGTATCTAAGAATGCGCTGATTCTGCAATGTTGGCTCTCACAGGCAGTACTTGGTGAATGGAGAAGCATTTCCATTGCCTTTTCAAACAGTTGGCTCAAAACTGTTAAGTTCACTCAGCCATGTAAATAATGTCAAATTGCTTTTATTTATGCTGGTTTGAAACATGACTATATACCTAAATATAAGAACATCCGTATATACTATGATATTTAAATTCCACAGTGAATTCTTACTAGAGCAATAAAATTAGTGACTTGAATATAATTTATGTAATAGACATAGATCTTATGGGCCAGCTAATTATTGTATTTTATTTGCCAAGATTCAAAATATTTCAGAATTTAGCATCTTAAATAGGAATGTACCTTGAGACCATAGGACTTTCTGAGCATTCAACTGCACTCTTTTATTATTAGCCCTACTGTATATGGTCTAGAGACATAGTTCAGTGGTAGAGAGCTCGCCTATTACGCACAGGACCCTGAGTTTAACCCCTTGCACTGACATAAATAAATGCAACCCAACATAGTAAATGACTCCACATTGTCCTAGGATGTTTTCCCTATAGTTAATATAATCAGATCTTAGTCTAATCCCAAATTCAACCCAATAATGAACAATTTATAAAGATGTGTTCTCAAGGCACAGTGAATAAACACACACAATTGCACAACAAACTGTTTTGTAAATGGAGACACCGATGCTTTTGAACAACAATCTCTACTGTCCTGTGGCCTAACCTTTGCAAAGAGACGAATGACTGGCAAGTGGTGGGGCGGGGCTGGTGCTATTTGTTAGGAAATATCTAGCTATGTATTACATAGAGGGTTCGTAAAGAAATCACTAAATATGTGAGACACTGTAAAGACATATAGAAGTATAGAAGTAAAATCCTGAATACATTCAGACAGTACATAAGCAATGTAAAAATAATAAATTGGCAATTCAAGACAGAAAATGTGATACAAAAACCTATGAGAAATAAATTGGTCTACTGAAGAATCAATCCAGGAGTCTAATTGAGGCATCACCCCCCAGGTGAGCTGATCAGGAGTTTATACTTAATCACTTCACCCTCCATTTGTTTATCTGTAATTAAGGGATTTGTATTAGACTTAATAATCTCTGTAGTCTTGTCCGACTCTAAAGGTTGTGGCTTTCCAGTACACATTTGAACTGACTCCGCAGTGGTGACACCAACTGGGACAGTGCCCAAAGTCTTCTGATCTAAATAGATACTTTGTAGACTGAGGACACAGAGAGCAATTTTGTCACTGCCTGCTGGTGTGATATTGACAGTGAAATTCTTGTAGCTTTGTTTCCCCTTTCCTAAACTATCCAAAGATTATTTACAGGGATTAAATGAAGTGATGTGTTTGAAAGAACTCAGTACCCTAGAAAATATTGGGTGTTACTATGGTGGTATGGCAAAATTTTTATGTAACACAGAGTTACAACCTGCTAATGTCAAGAAAGGTCAGACAGCAGCAGGACTAGCCATGCATGGTGGCTTTACTCACTGGACACTCAGTGCCTAGTGACCGCAGGTTCTTTCCCCGTGGTCCAGTTTCTCCCAAGTTAGAGCCAGCAGCCAGAGACAGCTTTTTCCACATTCTTCTAGAAAGGTTGGAGGTCCATGTAGGTTGCCTTTGTAGAGACTTTCAGTAAGCCCATGCATATGAGGAATATATCCACTTTTGATAACCCCTCACAAGGAGGCCACTTGTCTTTCACATGTCTAGTCAGGTAATACTTAAATGCATAGGAAGTGGCCCCCTTTCAGAATACACAGTGAAATCATATGTTGTCTTACTGTGAGGACATTTAAGAGTGATCTTGACTCGGTGCTCTTCTATAGTATCCATGCAGAATTGATTTCAATAATGTGATGTTTGAGACAGTCTTACCATTAGGGAGGGACATTTCCTATTGAGAACAAAGTCAGAACTCCAGAAATTGTAGTATTTGGAGCATAATAATAATTAAGTATGTAGTTCTCTGGCCCCATGAGCCTCTTATTTCATTTGCCCTTTAGTTGATTGTACTTTTCTAAAATGTCATAAAGGGAATGGAAAGTTACTTAGTAACAGGTCTTTTATATCCTTGATCTTATCACCCAGTTCAGGAGAAGGGTTTGGCTAATAAGTAATGAGGGAATACATGCATGTTTGGCTGTATGTGCTAATTCCATGCTATGAACGTGGATGAAAAAAAAAATACGTAAAACTGAGAACTTTCAAAAATATCAGTTGTTACTGGCAGGAAGACTTATAATTATGAGTTCCAGAGATTATAGGAATTTCTTAGCTGAAGCCGATTGTAGGTAGTGTTATATGGTTTCCAAAGATGATTCTACAATGCCTTGTTTTTAGTGATTTACAAAGCAGTTTAGAATATGCATTAGAAGTATGTCACTATGTCCAGGCATGGCAACACACACCAGAAATCCCAGCACTCAGGCGGTTATATGAGAGTGGTAAGAAAGTGTATTGGGAGCGAGGAAGAAGGAAGTGAGTGGGAGAGGGAGGAAGGAGAGAGAGTATATGAGAGGGAGGGAAGATGCTATCTTCCTGGCAGGGGTTACTGATGGTGACTTATATGCAGTGCTAATCTACTGTATCTGCAGCTCCTCTCTCCACTGTGTTTATAGTCTAAAGCAGCATTCTCACCTGGCTTCTTTTGGTTCTTTTCCCCACACCACCTGTTTTGCTCCTCCATTTTAACATCAGATCCGCGATGAGTGGGGCAATCAAATCTGGATCTGTCCAGGGTGCAACAAGCCTGATGACGGGAGTCCTATGATCGGCTGTGATGGCTGTGATGATTGGTACCACTGGTGAGTGCCCCCCCCCCTCAGTGCCCCAGGTGCTTAGGCAGCGCAACATAGATCATGCCTGAACAGAGACCCTAGCCAGCTCAGGTCTTCAGACCAGTTCAGCTACTCTCCCGGGGACAGTCAAATGAAGTCTGCAAAGTGAAAAACACTGCAGATTTAATTGTGCTGTTGTTACAGAGCCTGGAGCATGAATATTTAGCTTCATTTATATACCCTTTCCAACAAAAATAAGTAAGAATATAGGCTTTCCTTCACCTTCCTGCCCACTGGCTTTGGATAGGTGCTGCAGCACTTCACTGGCTGTGTCTGACAGCAGACTCAAAGGTAGCTTGTTTGTTTCTGAAGTCTCCTCAGCTGTTCCCATCTGAAGGTGCTCAGCCAAAATGTGTTCAGCCTTATTTCATTCTTAAAATACCTGTGTTCAGATATGATGTTTGCTGTCTATACAATAAAAACGGAGCCGGGTACAGTGGAATGTGGGTAAAAGGATCACAAGTTTGAGATCATCCTTGGTTACATAGTGAGTTTGAGGTCAACCTGGGTTACCCAAGACTGTCTCACCTCTCCCCCCTTTCCCCAAATGTAAACATAAAAGCAAAGCCATTGCATTACTCTATTCCTGACTAAAAGGACAAAATAAACTGATAATTTCCCTATGGGACCTATACAGAAGCACTTTATAATAAGATAACCCAAATACCCAGTTCTGGGCTGCTCTGTGGTACATCATTTTTTAACATTTACTTTTATTGTGGAGGTGAAGCATACTCTATGGATATGCACACCATTTTACCACATGCAAAATGAAGGTCCGAAAACAACTTAAAGGAGCCAGTTCTTCACTTCCAAAACCACCACTTCCAATACCCAGTTCTGGGCTGCTCTGTGGTACATCATTTTTTAACATTTACTTTTATTGTGGAGGTGAAGCATACTCTATGGATATGCACACCATTTTACCACATGCAAAATGAAGGTCCGAAAACAACTTAAAGGAGCCAGTTCTTCACTTCCAAAACCACCACATGAATTGGATGACCATGGTGGCAGGCATAGCGGCCAGTGTCTTTATCTGTGGACCCATATCTCCATTCCTAAAAAAAAAATCTACTTAAAGCATCAAAAATGGAGTGATTGATTTAACTCAGTTGGTAGAGTGCTTGCTTAGCATTTTGGAGGGCTCAGGTTCCATCTCCAGGCATTCAAGGCCAGTCTTGACTGTATGAGGAAAAAAATGCTGCCTTTGAAAACATGGCACAGTGGTTCAAGAGATCGCTCTTTGGTTAAGAGCACTGTCTGCTTCTGGGGATGTCCCAACATCCTCCTGGTGACTCACTATGGTCTGCAATTCCTTTCTTTTACAGGGAATCAGCACCAGGCATGCAAAGAATACACAGTCAAAATACTCATATACATAACACAAAAATAAAAACTTTATAAAGTTTGGGGGGGGGGGGACAGGGACACAGAAAGGCTAGCAGACCTTGCCTCAGAAAAGAGAGTCAAAAGGGCCAGGTGATGATGACTCATGTCTTTAAATCCCAGCACTAGGGAGGCAGAGTCAGGCAGGTCTGAGTTTAAGGCCAACCTGTTCTACAGAACAAGTTCCAGGGCAGCCAGAGCTACACAGAGAAACCCTGTCTCGAAAAACAAAAAAAGAAAGAAAGGAAACCATGAGAAATTTGTTTATCTGAGCTTCTTTTGGTGTGTAGGCCCTGTGTGGGATTAATGGCCGCTCCTCCAGAAGAAATGCAATGGTTCTGCTCCAAATGTGCCAAGATAAAGAAAGACAAGAAGCACAAGAAGAGGAAGCACCGTGCACACTGACGTCAGCGTGGGCAGGACTGATGCCCTGCGCCTGTTGGGGCTGGGCCGGTTCTGCCATCCTGTCTCCCCCCAGGCCCTGTGGACAGCGCATCCCGGAGGGGCAAGGACAAGAATGTGCCATCGCTCGAGATGCTCCCGTCTGAAACACATGGGCCTGAGCTCCCACGGCGTGTGACTGAAGAGAAACCCCAGTGGAGGCGTGGCCTGAGGGTTAGCACCTCTATCTGCCTATTACCAGTGACAAGTATTAATAAAGACACCACACATCTTCCCTCTTGATTTCCTTTCTTCTCTCCAGGACCTTTTATTACACTGTTAAATGAGAAGGTAATGTACAAATGCCTTGATTGTAATTGAAGGATGCATCATTAGGTATAGTTTCCAAGCCCCCTCCCTCACAGAGATAATCATAAGGAAAGAACGCCCCAGTCAGAGGACTGGTAAATATTTTTGTGATGAGAATATATGAAACTCCCCCACCGACCCCACTTTTATTACTAACATGTAAAATGTTCAGGCTTTTGTGAGATACCTTATATTTTTTAAGAAAAAGGTTTCTATCATGTCCTGTTCACCTCCGTGCAAATTATTTTCCTTTATTTTATAATTTGGTTGTGTTCTAATCCTGCTCTTCTGTAAACTGCTGGAGCCTCTTCTCACCGCCACGTGTACATTTATCAACTTGTATAAAACTCTTGATACTAAGAACGATTTCCCCTGACTGTAAATAATAAATATTTATGAAGTAGTTATTTTTAAAATTTTTTATCGTGTTTAATTCTGACTTTCTCTGGAATCCACTGTGATTTCAGCCATGTCTGTAATTGCTGCTGAACGTAGGCAAAGAAGACAGAGAGAGAGAGAGAGAGAGAGAGAGAGAGAGAGAGAGAGAGACCAGCTATCCCTCCCCAAATGCAGTGCCCGCAACACGGTGGGGAAAGGGCCCTAGCAGGTGGAAGGAACAAGGCAATTTAAATCTAGCGTTGATGGTTTCAAATTGTTTTGTTTGTTATATATTTTCTGTAAATTTCTCTCACTTTTACTATAAGGACATGTAGTTTCCACAAAAGTAAAAAAAAAAAAAAGAAAAAGAAAAAAAAAAGAAAAAAATACTGTAGCATTTTGTGTTTATATTGTTTTATTTCTACAGATTTGTTCATGGATATTGTGCTTTAAGGTTGAAATGAAGTATATTATGAATTTTTTTAAGAAAACGCATCAAATTTCAGGGTATCACAAAACTTTATTATATTACTATACTGCCCACTATTTATTATATGTTATAGATATCTGAAACGTAAACCAAATATTTTATTTTTAATGTAAAAAAAACATCAAATTTAACTTTATTAGCATATTTTAGTGACTTTGGAATAACTGTGGACTTTTACTTGATTTTGAAATAATCCCGATTTGGGCTTATGTGAAGGCTATCTTGAATGTTAGAATGTGGGATTTGAACCTAATACAAATATACGAATAGAAATGTGATTTTTTTTTCTTTTTACTGCCAACTCAATTGATATCAGATTATAATTAGTCCTATTTTAAAACATAAAATGTGGTTTCAGAAATGCAGTTCTCTGCCTTGATGTTAAATTACCTAACAGTGGGAATGCAGTCAACCAGGGAAGAGTGTGGATATCACTACCCTCCTTGTTCTAGAAGCCAGAAGCTTTCTTCCCCTGTCCCCCACAAAATTTCTATGTTGAGATATGTGTATTTTTTTTGTTTGTTTCATTCATTAGAAAGCATTCTAAATACTTTATACAATATTTTCACATGCACAAATATACCCACTAGTGCTTTTTGGAGAGGGGTGAAGGGTGGGGGGAAGTGCAAAATAAAGATTATTGGCTGTTTCGTAGTTTGCTTTTCCATTTTCTTTATTTAGGAATTAGTTCCCTGAGGCATGGTCAGTGGCTCTGAAGTTGCCACGTCTAAATGAGCAGGTTGCACTCCTGGAGTAAGAAAGGTGGTGCCTATATAGAACTTTTTCCCTTTCCTCCTGTCTGAGAGGCTCCAGCCCACGAGACATTTAAGGAATTTCAATCAATTTGTTGTCCCTTGCTATTTCATGGTTGCTTTCCTAAATCCAGTTCATGATTTTATAAATGGTCTTTGCAATAATAAAACCAAAGAATCATTTTCAGGGGGCTGGATGGCTCAAGGGATTAGTAATGGAATACAGAGCCTTTCACCTCTAGGTCAGTGAGTCGAATCCAGTCCAGGTCACTAGAGACCAAAAGTTGTCACCATCTTATGACTGTTCAGTGGCCTGTGCAAAATGAACTGGTGGCTGCAGTCTCCTTGGATGGCTGTCTGTGACACTGTCCAAAAGAAATTTAAGAAACTGCAAAAAAAGAAGTGTGCATTAGAAAATAGAACATTGATGTTACAAAGGAAAGTTAGGAAGTTGGCCAGTTGGTCAAATCATTCTCCAGAAAGTAATATCTCAAAAAAGAGAGAGAGAGAGAGAGAGAGAGAGAGAGAGAGAGAGAGAGAGACAGAGAAAGGAGGGGGGGAGAGAGAGAGCAGATTATAAACACCAGAGATAGCACAAAAAAGAATGGAGGCTGCTTTCCTTAATGGTGGCACGGAAAACCAGAAGGGGAAGAGGACATCATAAGTAGAGGAGAGGAGGGTGATAGTTGGTAGGGGACATAGAAACTGGCTATGAGAGTGTGCATCTGTAACCCAGCTCTGGGGAAGCAGAAAGATAGATTTCTGGGGCTCGGTGGCCAGCCAGTCTGGCCAAGATGGCAAACTCCAGGTTCAGTAAAAGACCTTACCTCAAAGAAAAGTAGAGTTGAGTCCCTGGAGCTCTTTCTGGTCTATCAGAGGACCAAGTCCAGATCCTAGCACCCTACCAGGAGGCTCAAATACCTTTAACTCCAGCTCCTGGGGATCTGATGCTGCCTTCTGCCCTCCATGGGTGTCAGCAAACAGATTTGCACATGCACAAACACATTCGATTTTTCTTTGTTGGTTTTTTAGTGTTTGGCTTTTGGTTTTTCAAGACAAGGTTTCTCTGTGTAGCCTGGAACTCACCCTGTAGACCATACTGGCCTTGAGCTAAGAGATCTGCCTGCCTTTGCCTCCTGAGTGCTGGGATTAAAGTCATCCACTGCCATGCCTAGTTATGTCTTAATAATAATAATAATAATAATAATAATAATAATAATAATAATAATAATAATAATGGAGAACAGTAGAGAAAGATATCCAGAGTCAGCCTCTGGCTTCCATAAGTGCACACACACTACATACACAAAAGTAAAGAAGAATGTGGATTAGCTCTGCAAAGTGAAGGAAATCAGCTGCAGAAATGTGATTTGTCACAGAATTTGAAGCAAAAGATTGAGAAGTAGTTCTCATTAGGAAGACTGGAAGTTTCCAGCTATAAGTAAAGCAGCAACATGTTTTCCCTTTATCCCCCATCTTCATTTGAACCGCATCCATACTTTCTAATGAAGAGAAGGGAATCAAAGTACTTACTCTACAAGTGTTTTTATAGGAGGTGGCATATTGGAAATAGATACATGGAGGAAACTGAGCTGTTCTTATGGTGCAATAATCTGCCATCTGGGCATCTCTGTGGCCAACAAGGAAGGTATTTATCTTTGGAAAGTGTGTGCAACTAAATCTTTATCCTCTGGCTGATGTATGACTCCAAACTTGGAGAAAATCAGAGACTATTGGAGTATTCGAGCCATGGGACTTTTTGCAGAGATAAAAATATGCATTACTCAACAATGTCACCCAAACCACCTTTGTTCTCCTTTCAATAGAATAATTAAACAAAGACCAGTCAAAGTATAAAACAAACACTAGATAGGGAATCCTTGTCACAAAGAACGCTAACCAATGATTTACTGAGGCACAGTTCTCAATACAAATAGTTTTGTAGCCAGTCTTTCAGCCATTGCCATTCTGTAGAAGTAAAAAAGTAGGTTAGTAGATTAGTTACCTGGACTGAATAAGGAAGGAATGTCCAGTTTGTACTGGGATACCAGTCATTCCTCTTAGGAAACTTTCTTCAGGAAGCTTTTGTTCATTTCCAAAACGTAATGTACAGAGACCATTACTCTATATGTGCAGACCAGTAAAGGGCCTTGAAATTAGTAGCTGGACAGTTTACCCTTCATTTCATTTCAGTGCAACATTTTTGGTCTGGGAAGATAGATCGGTGGGTAAGAAATCTTGCTGTGAAATCAAGAGGACCTGAGTTCAAATCTCTAGAACTCTGTAGAAGTCTCACATGGCTGTGCATACTTGTAACCCCATTGAGGGGCATGGACAACAGCTGGGAGATCCCCAGAAGTCACTGACTGGGTGGCCAGCCTAGCCAAAATAGCAATCGACATCAATGTCCTTGAACCTTCACATTGGCACACACACCCCAAAAAAGAAAGGAAGAAAGAAAAGGAGAAATAGAACATTTTTGCTTAATGGGTGGGGTGGGGTAGAACATGTGCTTGGCATGAGCAAAGTCCTGAACTCAGAACCCAGCACCAAAATAAATAAACAGCATATATAAGTTATTAAAATGACTGCTGTTGGCTGATGATGTGACTTACCAGGTAATGGCAATTGCCACCATGTCTGAGCATCTGAATTTGATCCCCAGGGCCCTTGTGACTGAAGGAGAGAACTGAGTCCTGCATATTGTCCTTGGGCTTCCCCAATAGGGTCCTGGTACCCTGCTCTACTCTGAACACACTAAATAAGTATATGAAATCAAAGAAGAAGAAGAAAAAAAAAAAAGCAGTGACTGCTACCTAGTTTTCCATCTACTAGACAAATGAAGTTTTCACTGTTTACAGAACAGGACCTGACTCATTTGTCCACTACATATTTGAGGGCAGCTTTCACAGAAGGCAAAGTGGTATCACAGCCAAGTATATATCTCTTGGGTATGGTTGGCTTCTCTTATTCCTTCATCTCCCATGATTCCCTCAGTGTTCTGTGAGATAAAATGATTACATCAGAGACTGGAGAGCTGGTAGTTAAGAGAGCAGGAGAATGGGAATATATTTGGTTTCCAGCACCCACATCAAGCCTTTTGGAGTTGCTTTTAACTCCAGCTCCAGAGGGATATAGTGCCTCTGGTCTCTGGGAGCACCTGCACTCAAATACACATTCCTGCACACAGATACTCAAATATACACATAATTAAGAATACATATTAGCGGCCAGTCATAGTGAAACATGCCTTTAATCCCGGCACCCCAGAGGCAGAGGTAGGTGGTGCTCTGTGAGTTCAAAAATAACTTGGTCTACATAGTTAGTTCTAGTCAGCCAAGGCTATGTAGAAAATCCCTGTTTCAAAATAATAAATCTAAGATTTTTTTTTTTCTGACTGCATCATTTTGTTGTTTTGGCATGTACTTATAAGTCCAGTACTCCAGAGCCTGAAACGGGGATGGAGAGTTTGAGGCCATCTTGGAACTGTATAAAGAGAAAAACCCAGACCAAAAAGGGGGGAAGCAATTCATCAAATTCCAAGTGTATTTGTTCCCCCTCTACTTGCTAGCTAGGGTCCCTAGCTCAGTCTGACCTCAAACGTCCTGTGCCTGAGAACGATTTGTAGCCTCTGATTGTCCTGCCTCCACCTCCTGAGTACTGAAGTTACAGGCATGTGCTGCTGTGTCTGTTTAACATAGTGCTAGGACTGCACCTGGGGTTTCACACATGCCAAGCAAGCACTTTTCCACTGAGCTTCTACTCTGCTCACATTTTTCTGTAACTGATTTTTCTACTACCTTAGACAAACCAGAACAATGTATAATGACCATAACACTCAGACAGACATGATAGAGATAGATAGATGATAGATAGATAAATGATAGGTGATTGAAGGATGATAAATAGATGATAGATAGATAGATAGATAGATAGATGACAGACAGACACAACATTTGAAAGCTCAGCAAATGCTTAAATGAATGATGCTAAGAATAGATGCTGCAAGAAAAATATAAAGGTACAGGTACATATTTCACAAACTCTAATATGCTAGGTTTTCAGGACAGAAGCACCTTGTCAAGTTTTCTATTACATTTATCAGTGTGTATGTGTTGGTTCATGCATACCATGACACACCTGTGTAGGTCAGAGGATGACTTTCAGGAATTGATTCTCTCCTATGATGTGAGTCCTGGAGATTGAACTCAGATCATCAGGCACCTCAGTAATTTTCCTGCTGAGACATCTCAACTGTTTCATATGTAGTCCTAAGCAGTAACTTCCTGCTGTGAACCTGGAAGCTCATTGATATTTCCTTAACCTTTTGAAGCCATTTGTTTGGTCTTATTTGTTTGTTTTTTCTTTTCTTTTGATTCTTGAAATTATCTAGAAAGAGACTACCTTAAGCAAAATAACACAGCCCTGAAGAATGCCATTATTTGTCTTGAATGAGTTGACCATTGCCAGTTTAAAAGGTTTGATGGTAGTGTTTGCCTAGTACTAGTTAGCCCAGTTAGAGCCACAGCAGAACTTCCTACAGAGAGTTCAGAGAGCCTGTCCACATGACCAACTTACCATCTGACTATTTCTTACTCTGAAATGGTGATTACACTTTGTTTTTGCTGACTTGTAAAAATTAGATTCTTTGAAACTGAATTTCTAGACACTCAGTTCCTCGTCTCCATTCCATTTTGTCTGCTCATTCACTTGTTTTGTTTACGGAGGTTAGATCTGGCTCTGTGGCCCAAGCTGGCTACATGTGCCTGCTCCTTCTCATTCACCTCTTGAGGGCTGGGCTTCCAGGCTCACTCTGTCCAGCTACTCTATTAATTATGGCAGGGTTATTGGCAATGTTCTCAAAATTAAGTATTAGGCAGAAAATGCCTTGCACTCAGCCAT